GTGTTGGTCGACAGCCGGCTGAACATGAGCCGACAGTGTGCCCAGGCGGCCAAGAAGGCCAACGGCATCCTGGCCTGTATCAGAAATAGTGTGGCCAGCAGGAGCAGGGAAGTGATAGTGCCCCTGTACTCAGCACTGGTGCGGCCGCACCTCGAATACTGTGTTCAGTTTTGGGCCCCTCACTACAAGAAGGACATTGAGGTGCTGGCGCGTGTCCAGAGAAGGGCAACGAGGCTGGTGAGGGGTCTGGAGAGCAAGTCTTATGAGGAGCGGCTGAGGGAGCTGGGGGTGTTTAGCCTGGAGAAAAGGAGGCTGAGGGGAGACCACATTGCTCTCTACAACTACCTGAAAGGAGGCTGTAGCGAGGTGGGTGTTGGTCTCTTCTCCCAAGTAACTGGCGAAAGGACGAGAGGAAATGGCCTCAAGTTGCGCCAGGGGAGGTTTACATTGGACGTGAGGAAAAATTTCTGTACTGAAAGAGTGGTTAAACCTTGGACCAGGCTGCTCAGGGAAGTGGTTGAGTCACCATCCCTGGAAGTATTTAAAAGACGTGTAGATGAGGTGCTTAGGGACATGGTTTAGTGGGCATGGTGGTGTTGGGTTGACAGTTGGACTCAATGATTTTAGAGATCTTTTCCAACGTTAATGATTCTATGATTGTATTCTATGAGCTCTGGAGACCGTCTGGTCCAATATTCTGTTGAAAACAGAGCCTTGTATTAGGTTACTCATGGCCCTATCAAGCAGAGTCTTTCACCCCTTCTCTGGGCAACTTATTCCAGTGTTTTACTGTTCTCATGGTAAAGAATAGTTGTCTTTTATCCAGACAGAATTTCCCCTGAAGCAACCTAAGCCTGTTGCCTTTTCCCCTGTCCCTGTGCACCCTCATCTAGGGTGACAGCTACCTACATCTTCTCTACAGCTACCTTTCAGATAGACTGTGATTAGATTCCCCTCCTCAGATCCTCTCTTCAGGCTCATCAAACTCAGCTCCATCAACATTTCTACATAGGTCAAGTTCCCCAACCCTCTAATCATCTTGGTGGCCCTTAACTAAACCCTCCCCAATGTTCCCATGTGTCTCATGACTTGGGGGATGAGGAGGGGACAAAATTAGTAGTAGAAAGTTTTCTTTTAGATGTTACCTTTTTTGCTTTTACTTTGAGCAAAAAAGCCTCAAACATACTCACTACAATTTACAAAACTTTCTTTGAAAGAATGGGAACAAGTCCCATATAGCAATTCTTCAGTTGGTTTTAAATTTGCATTTCTAAATTACCTCCAATTTGCATGCTGTTTCAGAAATAAACTCATCTATCAACAGTTATACAAGCACTTGAACTTATTTCTGTGACCATTTCAATACATTAATAATCCAAGTTCTAGTTTCAAAATAATTATATTTCATTAAAAATACACCAAAAAGCTTTCATGCCAAATTATTCCAGTATGCATACTTTAGAGCTAACAGCTGTTTCAGATACAGTTTTGGATTACACACGGTATAGTCTACAGATGACCATTTGAAGCACAGGGCAAGACAGGGTACCAGTTAATCACCTTTCAGTTGGGTTCTTCACTGAACAACTGAGCTTCCTATTCTGATGTTAACTTTCTAAGACCTTCTTAAGTATTTTTCCTCCTGTGTTTACTGCCTATATTTTTCTCTCAGAGAAGTTTAGGAAAAGTGCTAAACACTTTTGGTAATCTCAAAGCCTACTCTGTAAAATTTAAGTGAAGAAAGAAAAAACATGCCCCAATATTTTAATGATCTTTGTGAAGCCACAATATTTCCTACAAGAAAAATACAAAGACCATGTAACAGAATACAAAAGAAACTGGAATGCAAGTTGGAACTCTGATAGGAAATAAAGGCAAGACAAAGAAGTATTTATGAGGGTTATCAACCTGACATATTAAATTATTCTTAAAAGTACTTTTAAAAATTTCAGAGGATCTTCCCCAAGACTTGCAAAGTATTCACCACAAAACTGACATAATATGATAAACATTCTCATAAACTTAGTCAGGTTTTCGCTTTACCTTCAGACTTTTGTTAACTAACTAAAAACGTGAACTTAGTATCTGCACTTCACTGTGCAGT